GGGAGGCCTATGTCCAGTAGTGGACGCGATTGGCTGATTGATGAGCATAAGTAAGTACTAAAATATTGTATTTTAGTAGTTACTTTAGATAGATAACTTAGATAATGGGATTTCTAGTTCATGTAACTCATAGGTAAAGTACAGTGTTGGGACGTTCAACTTAGTTCTTGTTGTATTAGGGAAAGACGCCAGTTTGTAACATGAGGAGACATTCCATGTGGCACCTTACCTAATTTTAACTGAAATTTTTATGTATTTTGGTACCCATGTTAGTGTCAGATATTCCTTAGATTGGTAATATGTCAAGAAGGGCTGTTGTGACATGGCGGCCAGTAGACTTGAAGTTTAGTTGTTATTGTGAGTTGTACGGTTTCAGTTTAATATTGATTAAATGGTGTTTTCGTCAACTACTTGTTTTATTAACAACAGAAATATATTCAATTTTTTGAGTGCATTTTTTCTTTCAGGTAATAAATGTCTAGAAAGTACAACAGAAAACTGATCGGAGCTCTTGGGACTGAAAATCTGGTGAATGTTGCAAGTCAAATCAAAGATTATTAAACTATACCATCAAAAGCACAAAAGTTTTTTGGTGTAATATATCGTACTCTACAGAGTGAACATGTGTCAGTCAATAGATACCGCTTACAATGATGATGTTTCATGGAGAACTACACTGTAAATTTGGCAGCAAAAACCTGAAACAATCAATCACTTCTTGCACGATTGCCGGTCGTTAGATTTCAAGCCGCAAACCGAGTGTTTGCGACTTGCAATTTAATACCGCAGTTACGCGGTCGTTTTATGAAAACTACTGAGTAACTGCTGCCAAAATATTTGTACTCATCTACTAAACCTTTACAAGCTGGTATATGGTTCCAAAATTCTGGAATAGGTATCATAAATGAATGAATGGAAGGTGTAAAGTTATGGGTTAAAAAAGGGCACCTTTGTCCTAAATTATAAACAGTGTTAAAAAGTATATCCACTGACAGCGACAATAGTATGACAAGGAGTCTATTCCTTCTCTGTTTGGAATAGCGAATTTTTTTAAGAGACTTAACATTTAATAATCGTTTGTATTAAAAATAAAACCTATTCAAAGCCTCCAATAAAGCATTAAATTTCTTACACCGACTTACCATATTATTGTTTACTTACCATGAGGGCACCTTCGGATGTGGCAGTTTTTAAGATAAATAAAGGACGAAGTCAGTGCCCGTTCCTTTATCTGTCAAAATAGAGATCACAAGCTAATGCACATAAATACGAATTCAAAGAGGGGACGGTTATCTAGTTGAGTATTAATGAAGGAACAGCTACCAATTAGAGATACATAGCAACACTAAATGGATGACATATGTATATTTATACAGTCTCCTGGCGATATACAGATTACCAAAACAAGCCTAAGTCAAGAGGAAACTGTGGAACTAGATATTTCTAGTTATACGAGATAAACCTGTTTCAGCATCATAATCAATGGAAATATGTTTAATGATTTGCTTAAAAACTATTTTCAATGTTTCGTTAACTGCAACTTAACATCTGACAAAAGGCTCTGAGTCTACAACAACTTATGAGTAGATAACAGTATGGAACTGCAAGTATACATTAAGCAACTGACAGGGTGCAATAAAGTGACTTTTTACGTGGGTGCCAAAGTATAAAGGAATTGTTGATAATGAGATTTCTGAAGGAGCAAACACTCCTTTTATCCTACCCCTTTATATAATAAACTTTATCAAATGAGTATTTTCAGTAAAAACTAGAGATACAAGGCTCTAGCACTGTCTGTGTTAGCTACTATGCCGGAGCTCCAGCTCATTTTGGTGTAAATGTTCGACATCCTTTAGATTAGACATTTCCCGAACAATGGATTGATAGATAGGTAGTATTGAATGGTCTCCTTGTTCACCTGATTTGAGTCCTAAAGATTATTTTTATTGGGGATACTTACGAAATAGAATTTACAAAACTAAACCAGCAAGTGTTGCACAGCTACTGCAAAGCATTATCGATGAATCCATATTAATTTCTAAAAAAACATTAAGAAATGTAATAGACGCATTCTACCATCGTTTAGGATACTGTAAAAATAACAAGGGAGGACATTTTTGTAGACATTAATTTAGCAATGTAGTAAAGCTTTAATTATTATGTTCAAATATAGTTGTACAGTTCGAATCAAAGAAGTTATTGAGAGTATTAGGCATTGCTAGACTTTTGTTTTTTTTACGATATTTTAATCATTCACTTTCCTAAATGTATAAATGATACCCATCGCCTGTTTGGTAGGCAATCCATAACACATCTGTACATGTGTGATTGTCTATGGACTAGGACTTACATTATATCGAAAATTAATAAGTAAATCAATAATTTAATATACCGTGAGTTTTACATCTAATCGCTTGAACTAATAGTTTTGCTCTTTACTCTCTTGCTTTTTGTTACATTTGGCTCATCTTCCTTTTGTTATATTTAGCTCCTCAGATCCTTGTTACAGGTTTTAAATAATTTGTATGATTAACTACATTAAGTGTAAAAGCTTTTGCAAAGATTAGTATAATTCGGATGAGGGCACACAGATAATTTAAACTGTAGGCTGATTATAACTACAAACCCTCGAAGACAGAACAGAACGTTGCTGAAAAGAGAATGACAAAACTAACCAGGTTATTTCTAAATTAGTCTCCATATTTTTTATTTATAGAATGTTATTAAAGAAAAGCATAGACATTTTGAAGCCATTTACTTGTAACGATGAGTCCAAGCCATCACGTTAAACCAGCGTGCGCGCGAACCAACCCATGAAGTAGGACTCTATCGACAGTAGAAAGGGCAAAACTAATTACCAAGCTCCGTTGACTGAATGTTCTCTTCTTCCCTACCCCGCTTGTGGACGTGTTGAGTTCACAAGTTGTTCCGTTCCATACCGCCGTTACCCGAAGAGCGTGTTGAGCTCTTCACTAACCGTACTCTGAAGCAGTCGTGTTGAGACTGTCGAGGAGTGTCCTATTAACCCGAATCACTTAAGGGGCGTGTTGAGTTCCTTTCCTTTCTTTGTACCTATCGTCCGCTGTTATTAAATCGATACAACGTTCACATAAAATTTCAAATACACACTCGCTTGCCGATAAGACTAATTTCATATGACAAGGTCAAACTTAATTTGAATAAATAGGCCAGGTACTGAGAAGACTAAACCAAATTATAAATATGTACATAAGATTTTTGTCAATTTAATTTAAGGAAGACAATAAAGTTTTATTTTTTATTTTGAACTCTGTCTCTGACTGTCCAAAAGCTACCCGGATAGTGACTCCTACGAGAGGACATCACATACTATTAAAAAACATCCAGTAAACAAAACTATGGGAGAGATCTAATCCTGGGTCTAAAAAAGATGAAAAATACTGTTCTTTCTATATTTCCCCATAAGATCCAGGGTTACAACCTAGACTGAGACACGTTTAAATATATTTCTAGACCCTACACCTAAATTTAGAAGTCAAAACTTTCTATATGTAAATTTTTGTGTAATTCGCTGAAATCGACTGCGTCAACAATAAAGTTGTTGCTGCTGATTGCTGCTTTCCTGTAAGATCGATTGCATATTCTAGCTCAGAACCTTTGTATTAAATTTTATAATCGCTGAATCTCCTTTGGATTCGAACTTTCAGGATAAAAGAATCACTGATAAGTGTCTTTGTGGTGATTTGGATTCGTCACTATGTCGAAATTTAAACGTGTATTTACTGAGTTTATTCTCACTTGTGATCTCTATTAAGATGACTAAAAGATATTAAACCAACTTATACTAAAAAAAGTTGATGCACTAGTTAATTTATAAGAAATAAGATCTTGTTTTACTCTTTGAACGAGGCTACAGACAAAAAAATGTTATTTAAAGTTTTATAATGGAAAGTGGTAGGTGGCGGTATAATACACAATTGGGGGAGAGGGGTTAAAGGAAGGTGAATTATTTTTTAATTTCCGGCGAAATTTGATATTCTATCAATAAATTTCAAATGTGAAAGTTGTAGATGTTATAAAAATAAAAATCTTCGTTTTGTTGCATAAATTTTTTAACATAACCTCAAAATTACCGAGAAAACCGTCTTATTTTCAATGTTTTCGTTTTTTACATTTTATTTTTGTAAAAGTTATTCAAATTTGATGAAATTTGGTGAAAAAATACTTTCAATATGTTTTTAATTATTACAATTTTTTTTTAATAATTTCTGATATATACGTGTTTTTTCTCGAAAAGACACCTCTTTTTATTAAAGAAAAATTTCAAGGTGATTTCTTTACTTCTGATAGCGCTCATTTTCTCGTTGAAGCATCTACTTTTTGATGCAATCAAAAAATGTTATACAAAAAAATTTAAAAAAGTTCTTGTTTATTAGAATTTGTGGATTTTTTTTTGATAATTTGTTTACAATTATAAGAAAATTAAAAAGCTTATTGGAAAACTAGATTGTGTGAGAAAAAATAAATAAGACATTGTATGTAACAGTTTGTTTCTTAAATTTTCGCGGTAATTTTGAGGTTATGTTAAAAATTTTACAAATTGTAGGTTGTTATATTATCTACAAGTTTTTTGATAAGATGTGAAGTTTCGCCGGAAATAAAAAAACTTTTTTCACCCCTTTTTAAACATCCCTGGAACTTTCAGCTGTATAATATTTATATTTTGTTTATTATACCCCCATCTACCACTTTTCATCATAAAATCTTAGATAACTTCTTTTTTAAATTAAAATTGAGCTAATATACCTGGTCTATTAACAAAAACAACTTGAATTCTTATTATTTTCGAACTTTTTTCAATATAAGCTCGTTCAAAACCGGTTATTTAATATGTCATGGCTACTTGCAATTCGATAAACTATTTTACAAAAAATGAACTGTACAGGGTCTAAACGCTTGTGAGGATATCGGCAACATTTCTATTCTTACTCTTACGTACTTCAATTGAAAACAAATTAAATAAAGAGAATCGTTTAACACTTGATAAAACTGAAATTGTCGGAATTAGGAACAACTTCAAGATATACGTTATAATAAGAAAACTATACAATGGTAAAATTAATCAATATAAAATTCATACTTCTGCGAAAAATTCGTAACATATTCCTCAGAAAAAACTTAGCACGTTCAGATCACTTGTAATACTGTCCCAAACCCGATCATTTCAGTTTAATATATAGATATATCCACAAATATGTATCCTGGAGAAAAATTCTAACATCTGGTCTCGTACAGTCCACTCCTACCGATATACCTGACCCATTTTATAACATCGTGATCGGAGTAGTTCAGCTTAGGCTCGAATACTTTCAAATAACGTACTTTAAAGCCAGAAGGAGCAAACGGAACTTCGAAGTTCATCGAAATTGGTGGGCGCGTCCATTTCTTTTTGGTATCAGTTTCGAGAAGTTCTATTTCTGCAGATAGCTGAGTTTCTTTCATGCCCGCCATTCGCTTTATTCTGTAACAAAAAATTAATTATAATAAAAACATTGAAGGAAGATAATCTAAATTAAACTTCAATATACTTAGTGCTATTTAGATAAAATGGGATCAACTTTGAAAATCCCAGATGACTATGACCCGGAGCACACCATGGTTAGTTCATGATCACCATTATCATAAAGGCTCTACAGTCCTTCGTGGGCCTTGACCTACTTCAGGGCGTCATTCTATTCATCCCTATCACATGACTTTCTTCTCCATCCTCTGATGCCAACTATTTAAGATCCTTTTCCATGTCACTAAGGCTTCCTGTAGTTCTTATGCGGTTTATATTTACTACTTTTATTATATGTGAATCCTTATAGAGTCTCTACAGTTAAATATAGTTCATATACCATTTTCATATATCACTACGTATATTTTGCGCAGTACTTTATGCAAGAAACATCTAGTAATTCCCCAATCTACTTTGTCAGTGTCAAGGTTCCGGAGCCTTACGATACCTCCGGGAGTATCAGAATTTTTTACAATTTACGTTTTTTTTTGCCTGAACAGGTTTCTTGATACTCAGCATTTATATAATTGGTTTCATTATTGTTTATTACCAGTCATTTCTCTTCGCCAATAATATCCACTCCAGAAAAATCAACAATTGACCAGATTCATTCAATAACACAGATTCTCGAGAAAACATTAGAATTCAATATTGAAACCCATCACCTATTCGTCGACTTCAAGGCCGCATACGACAGTGTCAAGAGAACAGTGCTATACCAATCAATGCATGAGTTTGGTATACCAGAGAAACTTATCCGACTAACGAGAATGACAATGTCTAACTTAGAAGCCACTGTTAGAATACAGCGAGAGAGTTCTAGATCCTTTGAGATAAAGGATGGACTCAGACAAAGAGATGCTCTGGCTTGCCTCCTATTTAATATTGCCTTAGAAAAGGCAGTCCGAGATACACGAATTAGGGATGGCGGTACTATTTACAATAGATCGATACAAGTCTTAGCATATGCTGATGACATTGACATAGTAGGGCGTAGCAAGCGAGATGTTGAGCAATATCTCCTGGAATTGGAAACAGCGGCGAAACAGGTCGGTCTAGTCATCAACGAAGACAAAACCAAGTACATGTTGGTTACAAAAGATCTGATAGCAAATGAGGAACGAGAAACAGTCTTTGGAAGTCATACCTTTGGACGTGTTGACAACTTCACATACCTTGGGTCGCTATTGACTGCTACCAATAAAACAAGCGAAGAAATCAAAAGACGAATAAATCTTACAAATAGGGCATACTATGGACTCCAAAAGCATTTCCACTCAAGAAACATTCAAAGAAAAACTAAAATTATTATATACAAAACATTGCTGAGGCCGGTCCTCACATATGGAGCAGAAACATGGACTCTAATGCAGAAAGATGAAAGACTTTTGGGAATATTTGAGCGTAAAATACTCCGCAAAATATTTGGAGCTTTTAAACGACCAAGGGCAGTGGCGCAGAAGATATAATTTTGAATTGTATCAGCTCTTTGATGAGCCAGACGTCATAACGTTCATTAAAACACAGCGACTTAGATGGGCTGGACACATAATACGAATGCCAGAAAATACCATTACTAAAAAGCTAACCACAGGAACACCTGTAGGAAAAAGAAGCAAAGGCCGACCGCGAATTAGGTGGTTAGATGGAGTAGAAACCGACTTACGAATATTAAAAATCAGAAGATGGCAACATGTTGCCAAAAACCGAACAGAATGGCGACGAATCTTAGAGCAGGCCAAGATCCACAGAGGATTGTCGAGCCAAAGATGATGATGATGAATAATATCATCGGCATATAAAGAAATCTTTTGTCATAAACAGTGCTTGTAGTATTAAGAGCGTAGGCGCAAAATTTCGGGCCAATGCTTTTTTAATGCATTCATTTTTTTCGAATCCTGAGAAAACTAATAAGTATTTTTGAAAAATTCAAACGCAGAATGACAGATTACATTATTACTGAGGGCCAAAAGTCCCTGAAAACTTCTATAATGTTTATTTTACTAAGTTACAGGGGTGAAAAAAAAGAGAAACTTTAGTATGATTTTTAATTTCAAATATCTCATTAAAAAAACTTTTTGTTTATTCTAAGGGTCTTTCGGTTCTCGGTAAAAAATAAAGTTTTTCATTCTGTGTTTAAATTTTTGAAAAATATTTATTAGTTTTTCTCAGGATTAGAAAAAAATTAATGCATTTAAAAAGCATTAATGTAGAAATCTACAATTAAGTTAAAAATTTTACCACAGCAACATGCTACAGTAGAGCCATCTATCTCTAAGATCACAAACAAATTAATTAAGGGTACAGATCAACCTTACATTTACCAATTCACAAAACATCTTGCGAATGTAATACACTGAAAAGAGTAAATTGTTTAACTTAATTTTTTGAAAACTTTAAAATTTCTCATAATGTGTTAACACTTTAATTTCTTTCCACTAAACATATTATTTTTATTGCAAAAACAGTTCAATATACTTACTTCCATACAATGGCATTCTCTGATGCTTTATATTTCGCCTTTCCTTTCAAACAAATCAGTTGGACTCCGGAAGTATTTAGGGGAGTGGGAATCTTAACTTCAATTTTCTGTCCAAGCAGAGATGGCTTAAAGTTACTTTTCAGAACAACTTTAACTTCCATTTTGGTGCGCCCGACCTCGCGAACCAATGGTATAACACGGAAAGGAAGAGATATGTCTTTGGTGGTTCTATATCTGCAACAAATAATAATATTGAGTCAATACAAAAGTTCTCCCCTCCTCAACCTATTTCATTAGAGACTATAAAGTGTAAACGTATGCCAAAAATAGATCACTTGAGAAAGACAATCGGCCGAAACAGCTGTAGTGATAAGAGGTTAAAATAAATTTTGAGGAAGTTTGAAAACAAAGTTTTCAGTGTTTTATTGTTACATAAAATGAATTTCCATCAAGTTACAGTCGAATCCATCAATTATTTAATACAAAATTTATTTTTGTTAAAATCTGAATTAATAAATCCAATAAAAAACGGGAATTGAAACCTTTGCATCCATCTTCACCTTGCAATATAACTTGTTATGAAGGGACTCAACCCATCAAAATTGATAGTGTCAAGAAAAAACCGTACCTACTTAAATACATTAGGAAAATATACAAATCTCTTTTACCATAACATGCGGTATTGTTGAATTCAGCAATATTCTACTTATTGCTGAATTTAACATGAAAAATTGTCTACAAAAATTTAACATAATGCAAATTCTAAAAGACAGTATTTTAAGGCTGTTTTCGCAGTTAAAGCACACTGCGATTTGAAGTAGTCGTATCACTTACTTTTCTACAGTGCTTACGTCAGGACCTACGTGACTTCCTAATTTGAAATCTGCAGTGTTAACTTGTTTCGATGTTTACTCAGTGGCGCCGGCTCACGGGTTGTTTAATGACAATAAATGCATTAGTCTCCATTCAAATTAGTTTTGTCGGAATACTTTTTTAGATTGATTATCGTAGATAATGTTTTAAAAAGAATTACTACATTTTTAAATTATATGTCTTAGCTAACTATAGTATTGAATAAAAATTTGTGAAACGTGACTGCAAAAAACACCATGGTGTTTATTTATAATAAATTTAAAATAACATACGAATATTATTATCAAAAAAATTACAATTTGTTGTCACAAACAAATAAACAATTTCGCACTTATAGCTTTAAAATGATTTCAAGAAGTTATTTAGTAACTTATACCACTAAACTAATAATATATTACTTAAACATACCCGTAAACTAAAGAATTTCAATATAAATAAGAATACTGTAAACTGTAAAAACTAAGCAAGTTGAGAAGGAAAATACAAGAATGAAGAACTGAAAATGGATTCTGATTCAAGCGAACTAACTGACCGTACCGAACGTTCATGAGATTTGACGTCACGAACGCGATAACGACGACAATGATGAGTAACACGTTTCACTATTAGATTTCAGTATTTTTTAGCAATTTTCTTCAAAGTTGGAATACGCTTTTCTCGATTATTACTGGACACAGAAAGGTGAAACAAAAATCAACGATTACAAAAAAACTCTTTCAAGTGATGGGCGTAAAAAGTTTGGTTATAATAAAACGTTAAACAGTATAATCCAATTTTTCAACAGAAGTTTCAAAAAAATAAAAAAAAAGTAAAACCATCATTTTAAAGGCAACATGATTTCGAATAACATGTCCAAATTTCGAGACAGTTTGTCGGTAAATAACAGATAAAAAATTTTGGTGCACCGATAAAACAGCCTTAATGCAGAACAGACAAGACAAACAACATTTTCTTGCAAGATAAGTGATAATGAATGGGCCCTGGATCCATCACTATGCTGTAGAGACCAATATACCGAATAAGAAGTAGATAGATTGAGGTTTATCACCGCCGAAAAAATTAAGATACAATCTCTGACAGGGAGAAAATTCTGAATCTAATCTTCTCAAATTACAGTAGGCCATAAAATGGAAAGATACGGGAAACTTGAGCAAAGGTGTTCTCTTTCATTAGGATAATGTACCAAGTCACACATCCCCCTTGGTAGCAGTCATAGTTAGTCTGCTTCTAATTATATAATCATCCACCACATTCTCCAGATTTGTCCTGCAGCAATTACTGATTATTAAAACTTAATTAATACTTGTGTGATAAACAAGTTTCTTAGATAATTAGGTCATATGTGCAGTAATAAGTGGTTTGAAGGGAGCAAACATCTATTCTTTTGCGAAGCATTAGTAATTCTACAACACTGATGAACAAATATGTTAATGTTAATGGACACTATGTTGAACAATAAATATATATCTATATAATTACTTACCTCATAAGTTCAAATTCTCCATCTGGAGGAATAAAGCTAATGGAATGTTCTGTTTCAAATTTACTTAATTTAACACATTGATGAAACTGACAATCATCAATAACAACAACTGGTTTTCCAGATCTAGCCGGATCTGAATCCGTGGTTGTTCCTAATAAGACAAAAAATTAGATAATGATAAATTATGAATGAACCATTGACTTACCAAGACTACCTTTGCCTTTAGCTTCCATAACGATCTTATCATTGATACCAAATTTACATTCAGGCATGCCAGACAGATATGATTTCATAACTACCTTGCCTGCTACATGAGCAGATAGCACCTGACCTATAATCAAAAGAAATGGAGGTTCGTAAATATGTACATAATTCAACAAATTGTTAACAGTGAGGAAAGACAAATTTATTTGCTTTGCATGAGATTTTTTATAAGTTTTGTATGATTCATCATTTCCTCAACAAAATATATGTTTCAAACATGGACGTATAAACATAGATGGACATAGCAATAAGATACCTTTAACACACAATGTTTGAAGCTTCGATATAATGTGATGCTTCCGCAATGAGCATAAGCGTGCTTGAATTTTTACTCGCGGGTAATTATTCAGATTTTAAAAATTGGAAGTAGTAATAATGTATACAAACACGTTCATAGGATTAAAAAAAACGAGAGTTTAACTATTAACAAATCACGTCTTTATAGAAAAAGTAAAATACAATTTTATTTGCTTTAAAATTAATACAATTAAATATAGTTGAATTCAAGTTAATTTTTTAATAGTATCAAAATAATGCTACAATAAAGAATCTTTATGTTTTCTCCTTAATTTGCTACCCAAATAGTTCGATCGCCAATATTATTTGGAAACCTACATAGAAAAATAAATGAGTTTTATTCATTTCACTAATTTATTTGTATCCATGAGAAATATTAAATTAAAAAGGTACTAAACAGATCTTTTTTAATCAGATGATGTCTACTTACAATTTATAAATGTCTACTAATTTCATGAACTCATATCTTATTCAATACATTAATGAACATGAATAAACCCAATGGTTCGCCTATTAAAATGTAAACAAACACACTTCCTTATTTCCTCATCTTAAATAATGTAAATTGTATGTACTTACAAATGAAATGAGAGATCGGGATGTAAATATTTCGTTTATTTTATTTCACTTTTCACAAATATCACTCAAAATACAGCCAAAATATCGAAAAATAACTTTTTCCTCATTTACTGTTAAAAGTAAACAAACATGGAACAGCATTTGAACTTTGACATAGATCCATAAGACAGAGAAATGTAAACAACCATTGCCATTTATAAATAGTTTTCAGTGCTTCTACATATAAAATAATTGATTGATATCTATTATACGCTATTATTAAATGATAATGCACACTATGTGTACACATGATATTTTGATTACAATTAAATATATTAATATATCCAATAAATTATTATTTTGGTTTGATAGCACTAATAGAGTATAAAATACGGAGTAATATTTTCAGCGACTCGCGAATAAGAAATTTTAAAACAAAACGTGACAACAGTTGAAGGTGCTCAGAATGTTCAATATTCAAATATTCGAATATTCAAATAATTTTGACTTCACAATTTTATGTAAATAACTGAGTCCATCTGTGTTTATACGTCCATAGTTTCAAATGTATTTTAAAATTGTTAGCGTCAGTTGTAAATGTGGCTTTGTTGCTGTCATTTTAATAACTACCTAAATTACCTAACTTTTTTTAACAGCTGTAATCCCCCACGACAGTTGATTCTTTTATGCAATTGAAGGCTACTGCGCCCCCTATGACTAACACAGCATGGAACTACAAATTATGTTTTTAATCATAGGTTACAAAAATTATCTATTGGTGCTTTAGCTACGAAATGAAAGTATGTTTTTGAAATATACCAAATTTGTCAGGATGTGTTAAAATTTAGAAATATAAAAGGTTTAATTTGGATATTTTTTACATACGATAATTTTTTATGGTCATGCAAAAGTATTTGTACTTGACTCATGCCCAATGACACACGAATCTCATTACCGAAAATATGTCTATCTGCTTCAATCATTACACACACAACATCAATGATTTCTGGGACAACATCTAAGGCCGAATGACCTTCATGGACTTCATCACTAAGGCTGCGGTATGCCCATGTTTGAATTGTTCAAACCAAGACGATGCAAGTAGATATATCTATATATCTGCTCAAACTTTCGGTACAAAACTCAAGAACTGAAAGATACATTTCACTTTCACCAATATATGATACAATATTATCATTAAGTTAATGTAATATAATTGTTCCAATTATCTTTGTTACAAAATATACTGGTTTAGGGCTAATTAAGTCATTGAACATAATTTTATTTGTTGACATACCTTGAGGAGACATTAACAAGTTGACATACTCCAAAACATCCAAGAACAGCTCATTTCTACGATACTTGATTCCTTCTCGTCTCCAGCCTATTTGTCCTGTCACTTGCGATGTAATTTGTGCTTGTTCTTCTTTAGTGGCTGATTTGATACCCTGCTGGGTGATGAACGTTTTCAAAACACCTGTGTCAGTGTTTTGAGGGTAACCAAAGTCCAAAATTTCTACAAAAAATATATTTATTATATTTATCAAATATTTATGAATTTATGATAAGCAACATTGGAGAAATACTAAAAAAAGCAACTCACAAATCACACCTACCATCTAAAAGCTCATATATTAAAACAAAGTTGTTCTTGATGTTTTCTTCTGAGATTTTGCCAAAGTATGATTGCATCACTTCAATGATTTTGAGAAGAAACTCAAATACCATAGCAGCATTCACATTTTGTTTGGTCACAGCAGCAATCCATATATTAGCTCTCTAAAAAACAAGATTATTAATTATTACAAAATGATGTTTTCTTAATCATACAGAAATAACTACTGTAAAGACCGTATTTATAACTTCTTACGATAGGTGACATAAGCTGCTGATACTCTGATCATAACAAAAATCTAAGAGAAATGTTCACCTTCAACCAACAAATGAGGACTGAGTTATATGAAAGGAACTCAGCACTACCAGCAAATCATACTTGAATGCCCTCTAAGGCTTGATATGTTGGATAACCACTAAATGCTTTAATACAATGGGTGTGCATTAACACGTTCGCTGCCGATCTTTAAAATGCAATATATAGTAGGGGCCGACAACGTTTTTTTGAATTTTTCGTTTAAATGTTATTTAGAAAAGTTGCTTGAATAGTTGCACTAAAGCTATGTCAACTAATTTTTTTGTCATTAGATATACTTTGTGATATCACGCGCCAGCGCGTGATCGGTGTGGTCCCAGGAATTTCATCTCAATTAGCCGTATCACGCCATAGAGTGAGACAATAAAACGACGTTATTATTAATACGAAAACAGAAACTATATTTATATTATATTATATATACTAATTCGAATAAAACGAACAATACATAAAAAATTTATAAAACAAAAATATTACTCAGATCAAAATAAAATAAATAAAAAAACTAAAATAAGTGATCAAACCACAAATGTCCCTGTGGATTAAACATTTGTAACTTATTTATGAATAATGGTACAGCAATCTAGACAATATCCTGGTTCACTGGGGCACGACCTACATGTGTAGATAGTATCCTTTCTTTTTCCATTTTCGTAACATAACTTGCAATGTTTTCTAGGTGTTTTCTTAATACCTGGTGGTGCCACTCTTTGTGACATAATGTGACCAACTTCTGGGGGTCGTCGGTGTGCTTGGTCTTCTTCTGCCCTCTTCTGGGCCGGGGCTAATAAACTTTGTATGACTCGAATACGAAAGTCATAAAGACTTATTTTTTGGGTAGAGTATTTGTTATATAAATGGTGTGAATTGATAAGCATCAATTGCAGCACGTGGATAAACATCTTCGTAGGCCATCTTAATGTCTTTCTCTCTGCCGGGTAATAAGAGAGCATTTGGTCATGTCTGTCAATACCGGACATATACTTATTGTATTGAACGATCGGTAAGGGCTTCGATACAATTTGTTGTCTTTTATTTGGTACATCCACCATTATGTTTCGATATTCATTAGAAATATAGGACACATTCCTCTTATCTCTCCATTTTCCTATGAGTACTCCATCTGCATACCTTCCCATTACTTCACCTTTTTTTAACTTACTGTCTTTTATTTCCTTCGGTACATGCTTTCTGTCCAATCTTAAAGTTCCCGTACAGTGTGTTTTATGATTCAATAGTGTTCTAGCTAATAAAAAACTGTTATAATAATTGTCCATATACACACACTATGTCCTACTTCCAAAAAACCGTCCAATAAATGCATTACCACTTTTGATGCATGATCTTTACCACCCAGATCGTCCAGTTTTCCTGCATAAACGGCAAATTTTAAAACCATACCAGTTGGGGTTGTCAGCATGTATAATTTAATGCCATATTTATGCCTCTTATTTTTTATATATTGGCGAAATTGAAGTCTGCCTCGCCATAACACCATAGACTCATCTAAACTTAGCTCCCGTCCTGGATAATACAGTGCACATACTTTTTCGTTAAAAAAATTAATTAGGTATCTAATCTTCAATAATTTGTCTTCAGGTAAAATACCATTTTCTCTATTTTCCGTGAAATTCAGGCAACGCATTATCAATAAAAACCGATTTCGGCTCATAACTTTGTGAAATATCCCAATGCTATATAACTCATCTTGTCGCCAATAGTCTTGGACACGGTTTATTCGAATATTGCCCATGTGTAACAGTAAGCCTATGAACAGTAACAAATCTTCAGAAGTTAACTGTTTCCAGTTAGTTATCCTGGATTTAAAGCATGTTCTTTCAGATAAAAATAGATTAATGGCGTAACTGTTACTCAAATCACAAATTTTTGTAATAAAATCGTCTGTCACAAACAATCTAAAATATTCAATCGGTGTCATTCCAGTTACGTCTACTAATAATCTTTCGTGTTCAGTAAATTCAAAAACATCTTTCATTGTGGTTGGATTCAAAGAAAATTGTATAGACTGGTCTTGATTATGAGAAAGGTTTTGTGGACGTTCATTATCATTATTTTGTAACACGTACTGTTGTACACCAATATCATTTTCAGAATCCTCAGAATATACTTCGTCCGATTCATCCAAATCACCAAATACCATCTCGTCCTCGTCGGAGCTGTCATGTTCCAGTAAATATAGTAGTTCTTTTTCACTTAAAGGCTGTTTTAAATCAATTTTACCTTTTTTGGTTGAGAAGGTCCTGCCACAATGTTATTACTTTCCGCCATTTTCACTAGACTGTCAACATACACTGGTACTGTCAAATCAAAAACCGCGCAATGTAAATCATAACCTATGATCGATCCTAGCAGGCCGACACTTATTTTTAAACTCATTCCATAAGCCGTATTTAAAAACCTACATTATAGAGCTTACAGCTATATCACGCACTGGCGCGTGATCGGCCTTTTTCCAAGTACGACCATCACGCACTGGCGCGTGATCGGCAGCGAACGAGTTAAGCAGTATATCAGAAAATGAAAAAGGTGAGTTTTTGGCAGTTAAAAGCGCCTATAAGGAAACAAACCTAAATAGAAAATTCTGATCGTCAAAATTTGGAGTTTATGTAAAAAAACCTTATACTGAACAAGATTAGAGAAAGATCCACAAGGAAGAGCTGAAATATTAATATTTATATACAAAAAGCAGAACATACATATCTAAACTTGGTGACCTTATCGTGAATAATTTTTTTAGAGTGAATATTATATTAAGAGAAATTCAAATAAGAATTTTGGAAGTATATGCTGTTAATGGGGACCACTCAACATTTGACAGTATACAAGAGCTTCATCAAAACTGGTTTTCACGAAGTTTAAAAATTTTATATAAAATATTACCAAAATTTACCTAACTTTGTTCATTAAACTTTTTGAAAATTTTTAAACTTTACAGTATTTTCTTTTGTAGCATTGTTACCCAGTGCTTTTTCCTTTTTAATGTTTTTTTGGTATTTAATATGCATGTAATGTTTTTATTTTAGAATGTCTTACAATAACCTTAAAAACTTGGATGTTACAGTTTATCTACTTGTGTAAATACTTTAATAAATTATAATTCAAAAGTAAACAATATACAGAAGAAAATATGGTTGAATAATGATTGAAGTCTTTTTATTATGTTCATCTTACAGTTCCCTATAATAAATATAGCTCTAAGCAATAATCTATGAAAGAATAAAAAACCCTAAGTAAACATAATACAGGATTTAACTTACCTTAATGTGGAAAAAAGATGTTCTAGCTATATTGGTCACTGGAGATCTTACTTGTTGGCGAGCATGTATAACGTTGACTCTGAATGCATCAACTGCATTTCTTCCAATATCATCTCTATATACTCTTGAAATGAGTACTTCACCCTTATGGTTGTACACAAACAACCCACCAATCATTTTGTGTTAATCTGCAATTTTTAGAATACCAAATATTTTACTAATAATATACATACTGAATCCAAAGCAGTATGAAAAGCATAACTAGAAAGATACTATTTTCTGTAGACAATAATAAAAGAGACCACAAAACAAATTAGAGCCGCATATTGGAATATAAAAAGTACAGAAAACTTGATTGTTCAACAAACTTTAGAATGTAGAAACTGTTGAATTTAGAGGTATAATTTAGTATTACTTTGATTTCAACTCTCCCTTAATCCACCGCCATGTTATCTAATACTAATGTAGAGCAAAGCAATACAAAATAGATTTCAGTCTTTCTTCACTATTCAAAATGTAGTACCAAAAGATATAAGATTAGAAAAAGTTCCCAGAACGATTTCCAAAAGATTTGAATACCAATCAGAAACGCACACTTGAAGTTATTATTTTAATGGAAAAGGAATCCTTAGATATAATAAGTAAATAAGGTACATCAGAATAAATCTGAGATGATATTGATGAATGTAGGCAAAAAAAGAAATTCTAAGAGTATGTTGATTAGGAGGCTGAAACTCACTGAAAACTTGGTTCAATGAACGAACACATCATCAGCTTTATAGCAGTAGTAAAAGCATTGTAAATTTCATTGATATAAATTAACATACAAGTCTTTCTGAGAAATTAAGTAATCAATCAATTAAATGATGGTGGTCCAATAATAACAAGTTCGAGAACTATAATGTGTGTGATATAATTTTATAATACATTTTATCACATACAAAAGTTTAAATTGAACAATTTTATTAAAATATTGAAGGAGGATACACTAAGATTACACTTGATCTGCTTTGATACTGCCCAGATCCGCCCACTGTAAAGGGTCAATAGTACAGACATTAGAGCTCCTATAAACAATTAAATACCTCACCTTAAGTTAACATGGCCCAGATACTAAAATCTATTTAACAGTTCTCAGCCTCGAAGGGTTTAACTAATGATCTATTGAAGTTTCACTTCTCCATTTTCGCCTCTTTTGACGTTGCTCATCACTGACTCGGTTGCTATCTATCTGTCACAAGTGTCAGGTCGGAGATATCGAATGGTTATTCATTTGGATATGATAAAAAATGTGTTATGGACTCATCGCCCACGACAACAGAAGCTGATAACAAAAATATTTCACCAGTAAATAACAACCATAGATTGTAATTTTAAATAATCTTCATGAAAATTCAATCATTTCTCGGAGTTCAATGCGCCCCTATACAGGCAGCTAGCAGTACACCTTTGTAAAATACTGGTTGTGTGTGTAAATCCAAAACTAACAAGAATGAAAAAAAAAATAGAAGGAAATAAAAATTTTAAACCTTTTCGCTTTTTTTCTTCTTGGTCTGCTTTAAAGTGCTTTTGTGAATAAACGAGGAACGTGTAAAAACAGTGTGCGAAACTAGAAGTGGGAAAATAAGAGAAAGGTTGAAAATTAAACCTTTGCTAGGCATACTAGATAAAAATAAATTCGCTTGGTTTGAAAATTTATCCCAGATAGATGATAATAAGTAGAGTATGGAGGCAAAACCAATAAGGAAAAGGAAGAATAAAAAAGAACGGTCACGTTAAAATCTGGAACAGTAACATGACAGAAATACTCTTTTCAAATTTTAAGCAAAACAACTTTTTAAGAAACAGTATGTGAGATGGCTGAGTTAATGCTTTTCATGTAATGTAAGATAAATTTTCAAATTTATATGAAAACAATTGATTTGGGGAGAACTTGGGAATTCTGCTCGGGTAAGAACCAATTAAGACAAACAGTCTGACTTTTTATTACCCCATGCAGTGGGTAAATCCGTTCATAATTAAAAATATAATCTTTAGGTTCATCTACATCAGAGCAGCGTAAAACTCAAAATCTTGATCGCATGTAATAAAACTTTGTCCAGATACAAAAAAAATCTTTGTTTTATAACTTTGAGTGACGATTTACACTTTTGAATGTAATTGACTTTTTGAACTAAACACTAAACGAGACTAAAGACATGAAATGAATTTAAAAGCTAAATGAAATACAGCTAAAATTTAAGATAATAAAAAATTCTTCGACTGTATAAAACACTTTTTTACATAAAAATTGCTTAAGATTCCTCTTAAATACATTTATTGAACTGGTGGACTTTATAACTGTAAGCAAATGATTAAACACCTGTGGCCCATATTCACTGGGCGATTTAAATTTAATGTTACCCTTTGAAAAGGTATATAAAGTTTATTACAATATATGGTACCTATTTAAGTTATGCATATCACCACCCGTTTTAAACTGATAAGTTATTAAAAATAAAAACACATAATTCAAAAATGTATAGACACGCCAATCTTAAAATTTTATATTTTTTGAAATATTCTCTACAACTAGTTAGTCGGCAGACATCAGCGACACAACGCAATATTTTCTTTTGTATGACGAAAATACTATTAGCATAACCAGACATACCCCAAAAACATATCCCGTATCTTAGCCTGGACTCCACGAGTGCATAATATATCATAATAAGCTGATTTTTCGTCAAAACATATTTTAAATTTCTAATTGGATAGTTAATGGAATTCAACTTCGAAACAATCGCTCCACAATGCAACTTCCAATTAAAACTTTCGTCAAACGTTATTCCCAAAAACTTGACTGACGACACCGTAGCTATTTGCATGTTCTTAAAATTAAACTGAAGATTTTCCAGGTTTTGTGTGTAAACCAAGAATACAAAGATGAAAGAAAATCATTACATTGCTGTGTAGGATTACGTTGGATTTATTAGACGGAATAATTGACGTATCTTCCGCATATATAGTGAAATTTATAGCTCTGTCCACTTGTACGATATCGTTAATGTAGACTACAAAGAGAATTGGTCGTATTATAGATCCTTGGAGGACACCCATGTTTGTAGTAACAAGACTAGATCTACAACTGGTCACACAATCCTCGATCCTCATCTGCAGGCTCACATATTGTTGTATATTGTTTAGAAATGAAATAATCCACTGTAAAGAATTTCTACTACTACTAAGGACAATAGGACATTCGCCTGCATCAATCAAACTGGTTAAATAAGCATAAAATGCATGGACCGCCGTATTAGTAGATTTATTTTTCTGAAATCCATGTTGATTTATAGTAATGATATTATTGTTTTTTAGATAATTATTTAATCTATTTAAATATCCATACTCAAGTACCATTGAAAATATACTGGGAATTGTTATAGGCCTATAATTGTTGACCAATTTTTATATCTTCTTTTTTAAAAATGGGAACTACTTTGCCTGTCTTTAAGTAATTAGGAAAATTCCCATTACAAAAAGACAAATTGGTGAAATAAGTTAAAGGATTGATTATAAAAGGTAAAACCTTTTTTACGAAAAATGCAGGTGTCTCGTCAAATCTGTTAGCGGATTTGTTTCTAAGTTTACTCTGCAGGAGCTCGATCAGTTCCTTCCCAGTAAATGGGTACAACTGAAATAAATTTTCATGATCTATAATAATTGACTGGCTGTCTTTGTCTACTGTATTACGTGGAATTTACGACATGATATCAATGGGTGCATTTAAAAAAAAATGTGTTAAAAGTGAAAGTAAAATATTATGAACATTGTAATGAAATTTTATACGAATATGTTTTGGACGCTGATACATCCCATGAATTTGTTTTTATATCTGATTTTCATAGAGGGCTCTAGTTACACGGATCGTACTAAAGTATTAGTCAATATAACTTTTTTAAGAGTACCTATAATTATTAATCGAAATATCAAGTAAACTTAAACATCATTAAATTTTACACGAAAAAGTTACTCTTGGTAAAACTCGATACAGTGTACCGTTTTCGGAATATTTTGATTTGAAAATTATGAAGTAATAATTGATGCTGGTATAAAATAGTTAGTAATTAAATAAAACTCACAAGAAGAAAATTAAATTAATGACTAAGAACATAAAATAAAATTCAATTACAGAAAGTGTTCGGAGATTCCCTCCGTTTTCGCGAATACACAAGTCTATTCTTTTTTCTAAAGATTCCATTAACCTTCTAAACGGTAGGGGATTAGCTATGATGTCATTAAATTGACGTTGAATTCTTTCTTCCAATTCTTGGAGTGAATTTACCTCTGTAGCATAGATTTTTCCTTAATATACGACCAAACTGCGTAGTCCAAAGGGTTAAAATCGCATGACCGAGGAGGCCAATGAATCGGAGCTTCTGCATCTCTACCAATCCATCGATTCGGAAAATAATTACTCAACCAATTACGACACCTTCTATCAAAGTGTGGTGGAGCTCCATCGTGCAAAAAAAAATAAAGATCTTCGCTCATTTAGCATTAAATCTTCTAATATCTCGAATAAGGAATTGTTTAAAAATTCAAGATACATATCACCATTTAAATTTCCAAACATTAACTTTAAATAAGTGTTGGTAATGTGATACCCTTTTGACTCGTGGATTCTTATTACACCAGTAGTGTGCATTATGGGAGTTAAACATACCTTGTCGCGTAAAGGGGCCTCGTCCGTAAAAAAATGCATTTTAAAAAATTTGGATTGTGGACTGTCCTTTGTTGCAATGTTTCACAAAAATCCACTCTAACCGGTAGATCATCTGGCAAGAGCTCTTGGATTTGTCTGTAATGATAAGGATGTAATTGCTGTTCTTTCAGTATCCGCCAAGTACTTGAAGAAGAAGTATTTGTTTGTCCTGCTATATTTTTTACGCTAACTGTTGGATCTTGATAAAGTAAATTTAAAATATTATTTTCTTTATTAATTGTTCTTGTTGTTCTTGGTCTATTAGAATTTATTTTATTTGGTCTCACATTCCCAGTTTCTCGACAACGTCGTTCAACGGCTCTAAATGTTTTTTTACTTGGTAAGTTTCTTCTAGAAAACTTTTCTGCATAACGTGTCACAGCTGCTCTAGAACATCCTAAACATTCGTCTAAGGTTAATAAGATGTCAGTGTATTCAACATTTGAGTACATTTTGATTTGATTTTACAAATAACAAGGTTTCAAAACTCTAACTATTGTTATTTATCGTCATTACAATCAATAAATGTGAAATTTCCATGGCACACTTGGAGAAAATAGAGGTATACCTATTCGAACTTTATCATTACTACCAGCATCAATTATTACTTCATAATTTTCAAATCAAAATATTCCGAAAATGGTACACAGCATCGAGTTTTACCAAGAGTACCTTTTTCGTGTAAAATTGAATGATGTTTAAGTTTACCTGAAATTTTGATTAATAATTATACGCTTAAAAAAGTTGTATTGACTAATATTTAGTACGATCCGTGTAACTAGCGCCCTCTATGAGACACAGATATAAAAACAAATTCATGGAATGTATTAACTTTCAAAACATATTCGTATACAATTTCATTACAATGTTGCCAGTAGTTTCGGAAAAATTGTAAAAAATGAGTAAAATTTTTTATTCTTCAACGCCCTGCATCTTGAAAACTGATGGCGTTACAAAAATTTTTTACTAAACAAACCCCAATTATTTTTCAGTTTTTTACCTACTCTAGAGACGGGGTTACCTTTTTTTAAAGCACCCTGTATAGTATAGATGTGATTGCACAGTTTATCATATTATGTAACAGTTTAATAGTTATTTAGTGCGCAGATTTACCCACTGCGTGGAATTCCCCCGTTGTCCCCAAGAATTTACATCCCTCAAACTCAAATATGACAGGCCGCCAATAATTCCAGCTATCGTTGGGAGTAGTGCTGTAGCAAATTACTAACATTTACATATTTGTGATATTGTCGATATTTTAAATATAGTTTTAACTAAAATTATTTATTTATTATTGTATTTTATGATTATTAAATAATGTATAAGACTCAGTTTCTGTGCTGTACAAGCAGTTAGTATTTTACACCCTATTAAAATGGTCTTTGTCATCTCTTTAGTCCATTAGCGAATTAAAATAGGGGACAACCCTATCTATCACTAAGTAATCTTGGTAAATCGGACGTGCATTAAACATTACGATAATAGACGT